TAAACAACTTTGGATGAGACCGTATGAAGCAGAGTATTATTGGTGCATTTCCCTTGTTGTGAATATTAATGGATTGTGTATCTGTGTCTGCTTCGGTCAGTGCTGCAGACTTTTAAGAACTCTTCGTTCGAAAATCACACTGCTTTGCCTCTGAAATGAACTTAGTCTTTAGTAAACTTAGTCCACTTAAGACAAAAACATCTACTGAGGTTTGTACTAACTGTGAATTAATACGTATTTTGAGGGTACCCTTAAACGTCGGTTGGACGACGTTATCGGATCCCTACCCCAGACCTAAACCTACCCCGTCACCTAACCGACGTTAACGGTAAAGCATCTGTTGTATGACGGCCTGGGATCGTCATGCAACCGACGTTTAAGGGTACCCTAAAAAGGCGGATGTTGACGTATGGTCAAAATACGTCCCAAGACGTCAGTTATGACTTATTGGTATGAGACTGTGTTAATGTAAACTGGGTCTAAAGCAAGGGTTCGGACAGCACGGCGTGATGCCCAGGTCTAGAGAGAGCACCTGGTTGTGTAACACCCCAGTGCCGCTCCACAGGGGCCATGCATTATGCAGCGATTGCATTTCCATGCTGCTTCCTCCAGCGCAGCAGTAAAAATAGAAACGCAGACTTCGGTGCTCATGTTTACGACTGCACCGTCCTTCTTCGCTCCTGAGCACAGGCGGTTATTACTCAAACACACATACACATGGCGCCTTCCCAGAGATATTAAGATCAGAAGAGGTCAGGCTGCACAAGGAAACATCATCCTGGCATGTCAAAGATCTCAAGCCACAGAGCTTTTTATGGCTTACTTATTAATAAAAAGCACCTTTGCGTTCATGTTCCCCCTCTGAACGGTGCCTGAGGTGTGGAGGAAAGAAAATAAATGCAAACCATTATGCATGAGGCTGTCCAATACTTCACCCAGTTCTTGATGCAGTTTGTTATACATATTTTATCTGGTAAATAGATATGGATTTACATATTACATATTCAAGTTGATGTTTTTGAGGTGGTTGTGAGAGGCAACTTTGCTTGCACTACCAACTTTGTTTTAAACAACAGAAAAGGCCAATGAAATTTCCTCCGGGTATACAAAATCTCAAAATCTACTCTGTTTACTGTTGTCACTATTGCAGTTCCAGTGCCTATTATAAGGAACAGCACAATATAAAAAGTGAGTGCAACTTCACTGACAGCTACACTGAGGCAGCCTTTGAGCCCACGCATCAATAAAAACTGTGACTCTTATTTCTCTAAGTCTCTAAGACACCGCAGACACCAACAAGAGAGAGAAAAACATGACTGAGAACTGGGATACATACCCACTGAATGAAAGTAAAAGCCCATCGCTTGATGGTAAACAAACCTTTCCTTGCTTTAAGTGATAGAATGAAGAAACTTATGTCGAACCATTAAATCTTCTTCGTTATCATTTTACAGCGTCTCATCCGAAGACATCATACAACTGCCGCTTTTGACCATACGTCAACATCTGCCGTTTTAGGGTACCCTTTAACGTCGTTAGATGACTCTATCCCAACCCTACCCCAGACCTAAACCTACCCGCGTCATCTAACTGACGTTAAAGGTAAAGCGTCAGTTGGATGACGCCCCAGGATTGTTATCTAACTGACGTTAAAGGGTACCCTAAAACGGCGGATGTTGACGTATGGTCAAAAGCGTCAGTTAGTTGACGACTTGGGATGAGACTGTGTTACATTTTACAGTGATTCTACTGTGTGGTGTGCACTTGAAAAATCTGATGTCAGAGCTTGGAGCAGAAAATGACCGTAATGAATTCACTGATTTTTATTTGAAACATTTATAGTCTTTATTATATTGTTGCCTTAGTTAGAACTGTCCAGAACTTTGCAACTGCAATGCTCTAGCAACCATTCAGACTGGCCACCTTAGCAAATGCCCCAGCAACCAACTTTGCCATCTTTCTTTAATTTAATATACTAATACATTTATTATACATTAATACATTGTTGGTTTCAATTTTATATAATAAATTCTTCATCTGATTTTTTTTTTTTTTAAAGAATTTGGCAATTGATTAAACTGAAACCTGCTTTTAAAAAACTTAAGTTGGGATCTTTTGATTCAGACTGGGAAATATTCTTAAATATCATACCATAAACTGTATAAGCACACACTAGCAACCATAGAGTACCCTAGCAACCATACAAACACACGAATAAGACACATCTCAGCACCAGAACGTCACACAAAATCTTAAAAATAAAGGCTGCAAAAATGGGTTTTGGTTCCCCAAAGAAAGTGAACCATTTTTTTTTTTCTTAGTGTGAAGAACATTTTAGTAAAATAACCCTTTTTCCCTATCATGAACCTTTGTGCAGTGGAAAGGTTCTGCAGATGTGAACTTTTCTTTATGTAAAGTGTATAAAATTCCCCAGGATGATACTGCCCCCAGAAAAGATTCAGAGCTGTCATCACCTTCCACATGTCTGTGTTCAATCACCATACAGTGTGGGTTGATGCTCAACTGAGAGCTCAGTCTTGTTTCCTCGATTGTTTGGGTTGTATAATTAGTTGAATATAAATCAGTGTGAAAAAAAACACAAGCTGCAATTCCGACGGTAGTGCATTAATTCTAAACACATTAGCATTTTTTTCTGAATCTTTTTGAATGACGGGGGATATTCTATAAGAATGATCACAGATTTAATTTGTTAACCATTCATTAATATAACTTTACGAATCACAGAGCAAGTAACAATGTTTGAAGCCCTGTGTCTCACATCACTATAGCTGCACTATAGCCACCGGCTCCTCTCTGCTTCCTCTGACAACGTTTGATGAATTTTCATTTGGTGATGTGCAGGGTTTGCAGTATTGAAAAGGCTTTAATGTATCCTATACTCCTTTCATTTTCGTCATTTTTTTTTTTTTTTTACCTTGAGCACCCTCACTGCACCAGAAGTGGAACGGTTTCCCCAAACCCAAGCACAGTAAGTCCTGCTTATCCTAATGGGTCCTCTTAGGCTGAGAGGAGATACAACCATGCCAGACTCAGACAAGAGACTGAGCGAGAGTGTGCGCTCACTCGGGGGATGATGCGCAGCATGAGCTCAAAGGAGAGAAGAAGGTGGTGGAGGAGGGAGAGAAGAGAAGGAGGAGGAGGAAGAGGGGAAGAGAGTCTCTACGGCCAACTCTGAATGTAGTTCTTTCTCAAGGTCAACCTTATACACAAGAACGGTTATACAAAAACAGAATTAAAAACAGGCTACAACGTGCACTTTCATTGGAAAGTGAGAATAGCTTTACAAAAGATGCTTTCTTCTAGATTTATGTTTTCAATAACTGCAGCATTGCCTTGCTGTATCACAGGGACGAGGGCAATTTGAACGCGCTGGCGTTGTGATAACGGAGCAAATTCTTTTATTGATTTTGGTGTATCACAAGAGTTTCCCCCCCATCATCACTCTATATGTCTACTGTAAGCCCACGCAGCCTTGTAAAGATTATTTCACATATTGCACAGATTTGTCACTTTTTCCCTGAAGACATCTACAAAGCACAAATTCATGGTTGTTCATTAACGAGGCGGTCAATTCCCCAAACAATGTGCTTCATGTCACAATAAAAAGCAGGTTTTATGGCTTGTTGCAGTAAAGCGCTATTAAACAGATAAAGCACACCAAACTGGCATCTGGAGGATTATAAAAAGGGCTGCCACACGAATAAACTCACACACCCAAAAAACCCATTGCCACTCAGAGAGAGGGGTTATTGAGTGCATGCTGCTAAAAAAAATGTGTATATGCTGCCCCCTTCAGGAGGACCTCAGGACTGCCGCAACACCATGTAAATTGAAGACAAATTTGTGAGTCTTCTCTCAAAAGAGGTTTACTGCTGCCGCCATGTGTAACTTAAGAGTGCAGCTTATCTAACCTCGTAATCATACTCTAAAATCTTAGCATTCTGTATATCAAAAATGTAATTGTATAGCATATTGTATATTGTTTGTAGTGTATTGATACCTTTTAATTGAGCACCTGCAGTGATAAAAAAAAAACTATTCATAGAATGAATTCATTAATTAATTCCTTTAAAAAGTATTAATCACAAGGGCAATATTGGATTTTCTGGGGCATTATTTTTAGCTCAATGAGAGCATGTATTTAACTTTTTTTTTTTTTTTAAATCCATCCATGACAAAATCCAATATAATAAATCGAATCAACATCATTCAACCAATACCATCACACAGTATAGTAATTTAATTACTGTTTCTAGCTTTATACAGGGGTTGGGAGGTTGAGGACACACAACACTTAATATTAGCACAAACACAAAACTGTTTCATCTGAAAAGTGTAAGTTAGGCACAAATATAGGCCTAATTGAATGTTAGACAACAGATTACATTTTAAGATATAGCTTGGATTCAAATACTGTCAGTGTCAATATCAATTTTTTAAAAAAAATCGAAACAGTAAAATTGTATCGTTATTAGCTACCCTCCCTCTTCTTCAATGACAGTGTAGCCTAGCCTGTTTGCCAGCCCATATTCGTTTGGAAAAGCTGAAGTCGACCATTTTGCTAATAATAGGGTGATTTATCTTTGCTGTCTTGATAATTTATGTTGAATTAATTATTAACTGATGAACATGACGTTTAGCAATGGTTTGCATTATAGATTAGATTAGAGGTTAAGCTTCTGACAAAAACCCCTGCTGAAAATGGTTTGCTGGTTAGTCAGGTTACAGCCACTGATCTAGTAATAGTTCAGTGGTTACAGCTTATTCCAGCATGGTCAAGAATATGGTTGGATGTTTCTATGTATGCTAAACAATTTTCTGTTTTTAAAAATATTTTTCGCGTTTCATTCACAAATTCTTGTTCAAGTACGTAGTATTCGCACTATTTCGTCGAGCTTCGGCCATGGCTCGTCTGTATTCGTTACCACTCGGCTTTTTCCGCCACGCTCTCGGCCGCTCTCGCTCAGTGCAGTGGGTTGATGATCGGATTTTCGTCTCGTTCTCTGTGTTGTTGTTCTCGGTGACGCGACGGAGGTGTAGCCTGACGCGGTCTCTTACGTGTCGGCCTGAATAAAAGTGGAGCTCCGAGGGCTCGAGAGTGACGGAGGGAGTCTGTATCGGTAAGAGGAGACAAGTGTCCGGAGGGAAAGGGCTCGTCCCGAATGGCATACAAGTCTGGTTTGGGTTCGGCCCGTTGGAAACAAAGAGATCATGGCGGCTGTAGTTGTTGCATGCAGAGGGAGGGGAGGCAAACGGGAGACCAACACAAACCCAGGGTGGGAAATCTTGATGCATGGCTGATCATTTAAAATGCAACGAAATATGGATGCACAACATTTCCGAGTTTCTTTGTGCATCTTTGCAGTTCATATGTGGGGTTTCCCTTTTTTTTTTCGTCTTTCACACACAGGCTTGACAAAATGCTGCCTGGTGGATTCAGGGTGTAATACTCTTATATCATTCAGGAATAATTTAATCTTCTCTATTGCCCTTGATGCATTGTGCGATATTTTGGATAGTCTTTGCCCTGATGATATTGCAATATTTTATGACTGGGTTATTATTGCACTGTTTCATAGTTTCATTATATATTATTCCAAGGGCTGTGATTGCACGCACTCACCGTTTTATGAACAATAAAACGTTTCACCTCCTGTAGCCTACTGCACATGACTAATAAAGAAATGCAATATTGTATAACTGCATGTTGAATAGCAAAAACCTATTCAAATATTAGTGATCTTGATTAGCTATGCATTTTAAGGCATTTTTCCTAACTTGTCCACACAGTGCCATCCTTTTTTTTTTTTACATTTTATGCAAATAAGTATTTTATAATAATATGTGTAGGCTGTCATTTGATTTCATGCTTACAGTTTTAGATGTCAAGATCAAGGAATGTACAATAGCTATGCGTTTCCAAGAATAATCTGTCTGTCAGAAAATAGGATTTGAAAAGTAGAGGGAGAACTACGCATGACCAATCAAACCACAGATAGACTTTAAGCGTCATGAGATCACATTACTGTCGGTTCACTCGTGCCATTCCGGGTCTCGAGCATTAGACTCTCATCTTTTTCTATTTCAAAGTGCTCAATTGGTCTTATTTATGGAAGTCCATTTCTATGGGGGTAGAATTGTTGCTTTAGTCCAAATAAATTGATTATGATCCACAAATAAATGTAAAGAGATTGACAAAGATAAAGAGTTTCACAAAAATAAAAAATAAGTCACAAATAAATAAAATGAGATTTGCAAATAAAAAAATATATGAAGAGTTCAGATGCAAAAGCCTCTAAGTGCCATTTGAAATTTTCTTCTAGAATGATCATTTTTATCAAGCTTGTATATTTAAGTTCAGTGATTTCACTTAAATGGCAATGATAATTACCTATTAATTGTTATTTAAGTGAAATTACTGAACTTAAATATACAAGTTTGACAAAAATCATCATTGAAGAAGAAAATATCAAATGGCATTTAGAGGCTTTTGCATCTGAACTCTTCATATATACATTTACAAATGTTTTTTTTTTTTTTTTTTTTTTTTATGCCACAAACACTTACACTCTGCCTGGCATTTATTTGTGAACCGCTTTCTGTTTTGTAAATCCCCTCATGCATTTGTGAATCGGTTTCTGGCTATTTTAAATCCCCTCACACATTTCATTCTAACAGTTCGTCTCGTCAATGTCAAAATGTTTGAGTCGGGCTTATGTTCAGAATCTGCAAGCTGAGCGCGAATTCCCGCACGATGCTTCAGTTAATGGTCATAAAGTGCGAGATGAGATGTAGGCCTAAATAGCTAAATTAAACAGCTGTTTTAGATAGAAGTTTTAAACGAACGACTGAAACAATTCATTTGCAAAATATCCATCAAAGCTCAGCTTTAGGAAAGGAAATAGCTACAGGTCAAGAGAAGCATCCTGTGGCCATGAGATTAATATTATGGATTCCTATTTAACACAGATATACTGTAAGTTTTTAGCTAATTACAGTGGATATAAGCTCAATTTAACAACACACACACCTAATAAACATATTGCCATTATTATTGTATAAATAGGCTTGTGTGCTGAATAGGCCTAATCATTGAAACATTTCTCTTTTAAGGCCATGTTTGGAATATGTGATTGTGTTTTGATATAGCCTACATGTGAACAATGATCATATACATTTTGCATTTCCATTTTATAGCCTATGTGGAACATTCATTGTAAAATGTAAACTGTTATCTTGAAAAAAAAAAATGCATGCACTGCCCACTGACATGCTTCTAAAGCTATAGTTATCCAATTGTGGGGTCTTAAAACACCTTAAAAGACCAATTGGAGAGACCATTTGCGCAAAATATTTCATTAGCCGCTCACACATTAACTTTGTGCTCAATCATTTTTTTCCCCCCTGTAAGGGGTCCCTGGCTCCAAAATGTTTGAGAACCCCTGGTCTAGAGGTCAGACACTCCAATCCTCATGCTGAACAGTCAAGGGAAGTCAGGACTGCATTCACAGCATATTGGGATGCTCTTAAAAAAAATGCTATATGATAACCTTTATTGCAGTACTTAATTTTTATCACTGGCCAGTGCACCAGTACGTTTACAATCTCATATCAGACATTATTGTACACCAATGCAGAAATAAATATTTTCAGAGCACCTAGGGGTTGCACACTGGGACTTTCACTAATGAGAACCTACAAACCCTTTACATTCACACTGGGATTTCAATTCATTTCCATTGTGCACACAGTAATGCATTGCATATTTTAGTGTGGCTTATGTAGGCATATGTTTGGAGAGAGAGAGAGATCTGCCAATATTTTGTGCCAAAGCATCAAGTCAGAGTTCAAGGTATCCCGACTGTAAACATGTTCAGCAATGATTCAGCTGTTGGTTTCTGTATCTTACATTTAGACAAGACATATTTTATGCATTTTCTTCCCTGGACAAGACGAATGTTTTTCAATGGACATGCAGTGTTGCAGTCTCGGTTTTTAATCCAAATGGCCATATTATTGATTCATAACTGTGCTTGTCTCGAGTACAGGAAATCTGCACCCTTATTTCTGACATAATGTCAAATGATTCAATTAAAACTCCATATAGAGTTGCAGCACAGGAACGATTTTTAGACAGAGGCTACTTGACAAATATGTGTCTATATGTGGATATTCTAAAATTAGCCCCCCTTTCCAAGAAAATCTTTTGCTTCAATTTAATTTGCTTGTCTTATAAAACTAGAAAAAATATATATATATTTAGGCAAGGCAAGGCACGTTTATTTATATAGCACATTTAATACACAATGGAAATTCAAAGTGCTTTACATCTCGAATAAGTAGTATACCACTCTCTTAGATGCATTGTTTGTTATAGCATGGCAATTACTAATACTATCATGGCACCAGGATACCATGCGACACTGGTAATTAATTATATCCTGGTACTTTCTTTTTTACAAGTCACAGTAACAAGAAAAGAAGGAACTGTCTAATCTGAGAGCCATAGTCTTTATACTTTATTGGGGAATCAACCTGCTAATTACTTGTTTAAAAGTTTCTTCTGCTAATTACTTGTTATAAAAGTTGCTTCTTCACATTAAGCTGGAATAGAAGAAAGCATTACAATTACACACTTTGTCCTTATTATAAAGTCCTTATTATCTCAATTGGTAGTCTTGTGACTCTTGTCAGATAGATACTGTATACAAACAAAGTGTTTGCAGAGGTTTTCTCTCAATATTTCCTCCGTACTATGGAGGATGATTTTTAAAGTCGAAATGTTAAAGTTGCGGACTAGTATAGTGACTTTTCTGTGTCTGTCTGATCAGATTTCCACAGTAGCGGACATTGAGGACTTAACAGAGTCAGTGGACGCTGGACAGTCTGAAGATTCTGCCTAGGTTCCCCTCTTAAAGGTATGTATGCTTCATCTGCAATGCAACATCCAATGTTTTAGGTTGAGACTGTAATAGTAGTATTAATAGAAATGAACTTGCTTAACATATTAATCATGCATGTAATTAAAGATGTGGTTCACTTTTGAAAAAAAAAAAAAAAAAACTTTTGCTGATAATTTACTCACGTCATCTAAAATGTCCATGCCATTCTTTCTTCAGTCGAAAAGAAATTAAGATTTTTGATGAAAACATTCCAGCATTTTTTCTCCAAATAATGCACTTCAGTGGGAACCAAACGGTTCAAGATCCAAAAGACAGTTTTCAGTGCAAACTGTTCAAAGGGCTTTAAATGATTCCAGATGATAAATAAGAGTCTTATCAAGCGAATAATAAATAAATAACAAAGTTGTATAAGCTCAAATGCTTGCCCTGCTCTGTTCTGTGACACACGTTCGTGACTCTTCTGTTCGAATTCGTTCATCAAAATGAACGGCTCTTTTTCCGAGTAATTTGGTTCATTCAACGAACAAAAGGAACGAATTGACTCAGAAAAAGATTCGTTCAGTTCGAACAGGAGAGTCATGAACGCGAGTCACAGAACAGAGCAAGGTGAGCATTTGAGCTTATAAAACTGAAACTTTATTTATTTATTTATTTATTTTTTTAAATGAGCGATCGTTTCACTTGATAAGACCCTTATTCATCATCTGGAATCGTTTAAAGCCCTTTGAACAGTTTGCAGTTTGTACTGAAACTGTCTTTTGGACCTTGACCTCCATTATGTGGAGAAAAATGCTGGAATGTTTTTTTCATCAAAAACCTTAATTTCTTTTCGACTAAAGAAAGAAAGACATGGACATCTTGCATGACATGGGGGTGAGTAAATTACCAGCAAAAGCTTTTTGTAAAGTGAACTACTCCTTTAATGTCACCATAAAATCACAATGGACAAATCTTATTTTTGAATGGATCACTGCAGTATTTATTATAAATGGTTTATCTGTGCACATCATTTGTTTTAATTAAATGCCACTTTGTTTAGTTGTTCATGTGGCAAAAAAAAAAAAAAAACATTAAAGATGTCAGATTCCATCTGGTTTCTCACCAGCCAACTCAATGACCATGGAGTCGGGAGCCGATACCCAACAGGGTGCAGAAACTGCGGTCTCTGAAAATGAGAACCAACAGCTCACACAGGCCCAAATCGCCACTCTTGGACAGGTACTCCAAACAGTACGTCAAATGAACTCAGGACATCATCAATTCAACATTTTGAAACATGAAGAGCTGAAACATTCAGTCAAGATTCTGACATTAGAAACAGAACATCGAAGTTTGACTCTGTGTTTGTTGTTGGATAGGTAACGATGGCTGCCGGACATGCAAGTGGCACAGCGCCCACAGTCACCCTGGTGCAGCTGCCCAATGGTCAGACGGTACAGGTGCACGGAGTTATCCAGGCCGCTCAGCCTTCAGTCATTCAGTCACCACAGGTGCAAACTGTCCAGGTAAGACACCTTAACGCCTCCAACATCTCTAGGGCCCTGTTCACACCTGGCATCAAGATGCATTATGGTCAATTGGATCTTTTGTCCATCTCTTATGTCCACTTTCAACCACTTCTGTCCTTCGATGGGAGTCTATGGGCAGGTAAATCTATGGACTTTGTCAGATCTTTCGATCTATCGGACAAGATAAGCGTGCACAATATACATACAAACACGGCCAGATACGATGGAAAAACACACAGAGAGCAGCAGCTTTTGTTCCTGCTTTGACAGAAGACGACGCTGAAAGCTGTGAGTGTGTGTTAGAAATTGGGAGTGGTGAGAGAACATTGTGCAAGCAAAGCTTTTGTCTCCAAACCAAACTTGAGTCTTCAGCCGACCAGGAGTAAATACTCGTCAGGCTATCGTGCTTCCCATAATGTTTACGTATTAGGTCAGTAGGCGTTCTTTTGTGGCTGTTCGAACACATTTGACCACATGAGCAAATTTCACAATGAAAGCATTCAAAGTGGACAAGCTCAAAACGATTTAGACCCCGTTTACACCTGGTATTTACCGTCATCCACTTGTGATCAGATTGACAAAAACGCATCTTTACCTGGTGTAAACAGGGCCTAGATGTTCATGACCTGACTGGCAGGTGAAAAGATGAATTTCGTCATTAACGTATTCGGTTTACCTCACATGATTGTCTTATGTGAAATTTATGTTATATAGTCAGTGCTACGCATGATACAATTGTCTGTTGCTCAGATTTCCACAGTAGCAGAGAGTGAGGACTCACAGGAGTCGGTGGACAGCGTGACCGATTGTCAAAAACGAAGAGAGATCCTTTCTAGACGCCCCTCATATAGGTACATATGCGTGTCTTCAAGGTTTTTGCATTACATAAGGAATTTTCCAGTCAACAGCTATTTGTGATCTATAGGAAAATCCTGAATGACCTGTCATCAGATGCTCCAGGAGTTCCGAGAATTGAAGAAGAGAAATCCGAGGAGGACACTGCGCCTTCCATCACTACAGTGACAGTGCCAACCCCAATATATCAGACCAGCAGTGGCCAGTACAGTACGTTAAAGTCCACAAATGAAGTTGAGATATTCTGATTCTCCCACTTTAGCATCATTGCTCAACATGTTAGGAGCACTTTTAGACTAGAATAACATTTGAGAGCAGCAGCACCGGTGCCACTTAGTTGTACAGAAGGTACCGCCAGTAAAATTACTATTGGCTTGCCTTTATAAGTGCAGCTACTAATAATATTACATGTTTATTTCTTTAAAATTACTGTAAAGCATTGGGTTTGAGTTGATATGCAGGTAAAATGAACTTTTATTAACAACAGTAATGTGCCAAAAACGATTTTTTTTTTTTTTTTTTGGGAAATGTACAATTGTTCTATATTATCTTACTGAACTGACGACAGCTCCAGTGATTATAAAAGGAGTACACTTTACTTGTTTTCTTTGTAACTCAGTCACAATGTGAAGAAAAGTTTTTATTTTTTATGAGACTTTGTGAAGTCCTACTTTTTTCCAAAAATTCGAGAGTGGAAATGGCTAATAAGTCATTAAGTGCTCCTCTGTCACTATTTACTGGTTATAATGGTAATTTCATGTTTTTTTTTTAAATAGTTTTTTAAGTGTTTGTTTGCCATGAAGTTTTAGTTTTTCTTCATATTTAAACTCAAAAACATCAAATTGGAAAATATTTAGAGCTTTGAAGTGCTGAAAAAAAGTGTGAAGCTCTTGAAAGCCTTTGAAAAGTGCTTGGAATTTCTCTCATAAAAGATTATACAAACAATTGGATGAATAATGTAAAAAAAAGAAAAAAAAAATCTACTTTTTCTGCCACAATACCATGGTTACAGTAAGCATTGCTACATTAAATCCATGGTGAATGTTGGGGATTTGTGCATTTATGGCATGGTACAATGTTTCTCCTGGTTTCACTGTCTGATATCTGATATCTATGGTTCATAACAGAGAATTCTGCATCTAATTTGAATGCTTCATGCTAGATTCCCACTCGCTGTGATGTTGTCAATTCTGAGGCAAATTAACCAGCGCTGTGTTATAACAGTGTTGCATGCTTAAGATCGGCCCAGGAGCAAACCTGTTCTGAGCTTGTGCTGCACTGTCTTTTATTGTTTCAGAGCTGATGAACGATCCGTTTCGTTTTACTTCCGTCTACTCTGATTTTTCTCATGAAACATAAAAGGAAGCTTTTATCACTGATCAGTTGGGCAATGTGGTGATGGGACCCGTGTGACCTAGTCAAATTTAGTCGCTCTAGCAGAAAAAAAGGTCCCAAAAGCTCCGACCATAAATCCAACTTGTTTGGTTCTTAGACACATAGTGCCATTCTCACCAAATCAGTGACAACCTATTAATTGCCATTTCTCCTTCAGTCGCCATTACACAGGGTGGAGCCATTCAGCTTGCAAATAATGGCACAGATGGAATGCAGGGATTGCAGACTCTCACTATGACAAATGCAGGAGCCCAGCAAGGGACCACCATTCTGCAGTACGCACAGACCAGTGATGGTCAGCAGATTCTGGTGCCCAGCAATCAAGTAGTGGTACAAGGTAAGGTACATTTATTTAATAAGTCAATAGTATACATTTTTATTTGATGTTGTTTTTAACTTGTTGACCTATTATATTAATCTGGGCCACTGCAAAAGGTAAGGGCCATTCATACCAACGATGATAACTATATCTACCCAATTTGTCCATCTAAAGAGCGGTAAAAAACAGAGACCCAATCAGAATCCATCTTGCTGTAAAGAGCTTGATCATTTTACAGACGACAGTGGAGTATTTGGCAGAGCATGTGGCAGACGACGAAACTGCTGTGCGCTTGTAATATACAGATTGATTATTGCTAATAAAGTTATCGTTATACTTACTTATTGTTCTATATGAAGTCGTTTAGCCATTAATATTCTATGATTTGATGTTGTTCTTTGAGTCAAACTCACTATTGATTCATTGTTTGTTGGCTGTGTTTTTTCTGCCTGACAGCTGCTTCTGGAGATGTGCAGGCCTATCAAATTCGCACTGCCCCAACCAGCACTATAGCTCCAGGTGTGGTCATGGCATCCTCCCCGGCCCTGCCAAGCCAAGGAGGTGCTGAAGAAGCCACACGCAAAAGGGAAGTCCGCCTCATGAAAAACAGGTAAACGCCAAAAAGAAATTTGGTAAAAGCAAACGTTAAGTAAACCTTTTCACTATTGGTCGCAAATAATATAATTTATTCCTGTGATGGCAAGCTGAATTTTTAGCAGCCAATACTCCAGTCTTCAGTGTCACACGATCCCTCATAAATCATTGTAAAATGAGGAATTTCTTATTATTTTTTATTATTATCAATACTGAACAGTTGTGCTGCTTAATATTTTTGTAGAAACAGTGATAGGATTTTTGCTGAGTAGAAAGTTAAAAAGAACAGCATTTATTTGAAATAGAATGTTTTTTTAAGTCTCTTTACTATCAAATTAGATCAATTTAATGCATACAATTTTATGAATTAAAAAAAAAAAATCTTACTGACAAAACTTTTGAACAGAAGTGGACACAATATCAGTCTTTTTAACAGTATCAGTAATACAAGTACTGACTATCAATACTCAAGAGCTGTTTGGTAGATGTTTCCAAGATATTAATTGTAAATATAACCAATCTCATGAACAGAACATTCATTGGACATTGTTTGAAACCACCCCTGTTCTCTTCCATCTCAAACCTGATTGGTCACTGTGTTCAAGAGATCAGCAAACATGTCTGTGATTGGCTACATTGCTCACCGCTGCAAAAACCTTTAGTACATAGAAACATTTGACATTCTCTAGAGAGCTAAGAATACAAATACGCACTGGAGTGGTTCAAACATATACAGTCAAACAAAATGTATTCAGATAGCTTCTACATTTCTCACAGTTTATTCGCTATAATTTAGAAAATGGTAATAAAATCAAATGAGTTATTAAATCAGTTGATATTTTCACTGGTTTTGTCCATTCTTCTGTTAGACTGTCTCACAGATGAATTACGTTGAATAGCTGTCACCTGTTAAATTAGATTATACCAATTTAGATCAATTACCAAGCAATGCTTAATTTTGTTCATTCTGTGGTGTAAAAAGGTCACCTTAGCAATTAAAGATTGCATTGCACATTTGTAAAACATGGTCAGATCAAAGTGTCTGAATAATTTTTGGTATATTTTACTGGTCTGGTAGTCCACTGTATAAAGTAATTTTGGGTATACGTCACCGTTTACTTGCACTGCTATCCTCACTTACATAAATTAACTATAGTGTCCTACACCCACCCAAAAGAATCATTTTTGGTTTTACTGCTTGGCTCAATTAAACCAATATTTCCACTTGCAGTCGTGTAGCATTTACTACAGTTGACCGAGTGGATCAGGTGTGATTGAGTGGAGACAGGGACTAATTTGCATATGCAAATAGTATGGGTCTGCATATGGGTCTGTGTTTACTAAATTTATTTATTTAACATTTATCTTTAAATATATATATAAAAATTCTTGTATTGAGCACTTATATTGACAACCCCATTTTGGACCAAAAAGAGTCGTCAAAACATCTGCTAAATAGATGCTACATTTCTTTCCTCCTCCAGAGAGGCCGCTCGTGAGTGCCGTCGGAAGAAAAAGGAATATGTCAAGTGTCTGGAGAACCGTGTGGCCGTTTTGGAAAACCAGAACAAAACGCTCATCGAGGAACTTAAAGCACTCAAAGACCTGTACTGTCACAAATCAGAGTGATGTACCCACACATTCTCCCTCCTTTCTGGCGGACTTGCGTGTACAGAGACTAAAGGACGAGTCAGCCTGACACGGACGCATGTTTTCTAAATGTTTTCTTATTTTAAATTGCTGCAGACTGCCTGTATGAACACACAGGTATGTGAGGGAACTCAACAGAAGCTCCCTGGCTAACACAAATCTCTTCTAGAAATTTCGGATCATGTCATTATAGACAAAAAAAAAAAAAACTGCTGAAAACTTTACTGTGGACTTAAACACAGAAGCAAGTTCTCAGCCATCTTTACTCCGGGACTCAAACCGAAACTCAGCGGAGGGGTTTGGAGGAAAATGTTTACCTTTTTTTTCCAGTGTGCTGGTGTCTAAGTCATCAAATAACTTTTAAAAGAGTTAGAAATAATGTAAAATAATAAGAATAATAATTTAACTGAAATTTCAATAGTACGGTAGACAGAGGAAGATTTTCTCTTGAAGTTGGCATCATTCCCTCTTGAGATTCAAAAGGTTTAACGTGTCTGACTGCTACTTTTATTTGGTGTATAGTGCTCTTGTGTTTTGAGTTGACGTTTTTTTCCATTACAAACTATATACAAATATGAATATTGATTTACAGAATCTATGCCCTTTATAAAATTAAATATTGTGTATCGTATACAGAGCAAGATTATATCCCATTTACATTTCGATTTGGACATTTTGCTCATTTTAGATGACAAACAAAAATGAATTACTTACAATCCTGCCATTGCAGTAGCAGAAGTTGCACAAACAAAATAAAATTATTATTTTATTGCTGACATTTCGTCTCTAATACACCAAATTCACGTTACAGTGTCAGGAGTTATGCACAGACGTAAATTTAAAAGGTTCCGACATTTATGTTGATCAGATTCAGCAGATCACTTTTGTGTTAAGTTTGTATATCATAGAGCTATAATTGGATGAAATACAGTCCAATACATTCTATCTCTGGCATTATAGGCTAAAGCATGTTTTATCAATATTACATTGGCTTTGATATCGTTCTATGGTCTTTTTTGTTTGTTTTTTAACACTATGAACGTGGAGGCGGTGTCTTTGTATTTGATAACACAAGTAAAGAGTATATATGTTATCAATCTATTATGGCATATGCATTTTGGCAGCTATTTCATAAAAAAGACGTGTTTAAAGGATTTCTCTTGTTTATTTTTTTCCTTTTTATCCACATTCAGTTGCTTTTGAAAGTTCTGAACATTTGGTAACTCAAGTTGCCTTTTTCTACATTATTTGTATTTTGTCAGTGTCTCAGTTGACACTGTTTATGGTTTTTAAAGTTTTTAATTAATAATAATTTTAAAAATGACCAAAAAAAAAAAATATATATCAGGCAATTATTGGACTTTTGGTTTCCCATGTTGGTTGGAGTATGACATTTTGCATGTTCTCTGCATTGAGGACAGAATGTTTTAAATGAGATGTTAGCAAACTGAATTAAAACTGTCCGTCAACAATTCCAGTCTGTACTGAAATGCACCTTTTGTCCTCTGTTGGCGAGTGCATCATCTGCTGCTACTCTTAAATGTTAAACCATCTGCCTGACTGACATGTCATTTACGTGCTCAAGCGTGACAAATTAGGGAAGCAATCTCTCCACAGCAGGCGCTCACGGTCCAGATCTGCAGTCTTAACTGCTTATGCAAGCCGACATGCAACCCGATTTTCCTCACAAAACCAATTATTTTCCGATACAAGAATCTCATCGGAGGGCAGACTGACCTCAGCTTTCAGAGAAATGCAAAGTCTGTCTGTTTTCAGTGATAGCATCTTTACTTTTGTGAAGTGACATTAACTTTATTCCCCTTTTGTATGTACCCTGTATGCAATGAGATTGATCTACTGCCATGCTGGCCAAAGTGAACTCTGAAATATGCGAAATATGTGTGTTTGCCTTCATGCATACAAAAGACCAATCAATCTAAAGCAATGTTTGATCCCACTCATTTTGGACAAACACATCATGCACTTTTTGTATGATAGCTTTTAACTTTTGGACACTATGTACAGTACCAGTAGGATTTTATAGTGTTTCAAAAGTTTAGAAGTGTATTGTATATACTTTGTGACTTGGCTTACATTTTTAGAAGCTTTGCACTCTAATACTGTTACAATTGTGGATACTTGTTGTTGTCAAAAGCCCCCTCCCCCCTCCCTTTTGTACACAAATGTAAATCTATAATAAAATACTAATACTGTGTAATGAGTCTTATTGTCTGATAAAATGATTCCCACAATGCAATGTGCTAAACTTTGTAAAGAGTTAAATGAGACCCCATATAAGTCTGAATCACCAATTGTTTATCTTTATACATGGTTTTATTGTCTGGTTGGTTCGTAATTTGGTAGACACTGTTTTCATACAATTTTTTTATTTTTATTTTTTAAGAAAATTAGATTTACAATGTAAAGTAACTAGGTTATTTACTTGAGTAAAAATCAAGAGGCTGAATTTGTAAGTGCTTGTTTTTTAAATTAATAAAATATATTGCTATGATATTAAACTAATTAAACATGCTATATTCAGTCAAATCAATGGAAGGTAAGATTTAGATTTTTTATCAGTGTAACACTAAAGTGTGACAAAATTGTCCAAACTTTAGCTAAACCTATGAAAATGACTAAGAATAAATGAGTTCCTCATGTACCCCTCAGATCAATCATCCCCTGTAATGACCTGGACACAGAGAAAATGGGCCAATTTGAATCATCCCTTCTATTAAAAGGTACATTATGCATTGTGGTAACACCACAGGGTCACGTAAAATTGGGGAAGAACTTTTTTGTAACATATTCTAAAATTTTAATAATTAGATTTTTTCTATATTATACATATTAAATAAATAAAATATGATATCTCTCTGAATTGTGGCGGGAACATGCATATTTTGTTACACGTGAAATCTTCTAAATTCAATCAAACGTATTTTAAAATAAAAATGTAAATTTTATCACACTGTTTTTACCCTACTGAATACAAATTTGAGCATTTTATGATTTACTGGTACCAGTGGTATTTAATATTTATTTAAACTCTTGCAAAGTAGAGCGGCTGCTGAATGATCCAATCATTTTTAGTTCAGAGTTGATAACACACAACTCCCTGAATTAAACATGCATACTACAGTTGCATACTAAAAGTGTATCATTACATAGTCTAATATTTCACATTCAAAATAATAGCAGACATCCTACAGTGCACACTGAGAATTCAATTCCATTCACAAAGAGGTGTGTAAATAGGCGGGGTTTAAATCTGTAGCTTGACGGCGAAGATTGACGGTTTTAATCACCAATCCTCGAGTAAATATTTAGTTTGTTTTGATGACTCATCCAATCGCAATTGATGGAATGTCTAAGCGGGGCGGGTCCTTTCCTGCGTCACTCGAAGCAGATGGCGGTGGTGGCGGGGAGCGGATCGCTGCTGCTGCTGCACTGGCCGGCGAGGAGGAGGGGATAACGGGGGGACTCTCGGACGAGACTCGGTGACACATTTTAATAACTCAAAACAAACCCGGCGCTTGAATTGGGCGCATGTAAATGGACAGGACTTTATTTCCGCTGCGCTCAAAGCCTAATTTTCTCTCGCTACGGGCCGAAGGCCTGAGGATTTAAGTGATTATTGGATTCAGAGTTTCAGCCAACACAGAGATCTGCCCTATAAACGACGGATAAATGCTTGGAAGGGTGTTATTTAAGGTCTATTTCGTCGGTCCCCGATTTGAACCGCCGAACCGGCCTGATTTAGTACTCATTCGGACATTTAAATTAGCGTTAAAGGGATTGTTTATCTCAGTTAGCTGGGAGGCTAATAAGTCGCCTATTCACAATGAATCAATTTTAGCCGTTAGCATGTAACGTTACGGCTAATTTAAAGGAATAAATCCGTATTCGATAATCTCAGACAGCTATTTTCTAGTGATATGTTTTCAGTCACGTGTCTTATATGCGGTTGTATTTATTACTCGGGTTCTAAAGGTCTTTTGTGGCACGGTGTCTAAATGCATGGAGTCCCGTTATATGACTGGCACAGATAGTAAAATACCTCTTGATTCTGGAGCAGCAAGACTGTAATGCTGACTCTGTGTATATTTCAGCTCTTCGTGAACCTTCATTTAGTTTAAGCTCATTCATTGATTCACATCAGAAGCTGTCCCGGTGTGAGTTTCAAAGGTGTTTGTCATAGACCAATACACCTGACTGAGCAGGTAGAGCACGTGCTTGTGTGTTTGTGTCATCATGGGCAATACAGTGTCCTGCTGCGTGTCTCCCAGTGGGAGCCCCAAACTACCCCGGCAGGTGGAGCGTCTGGAGGAGTATCAGATCAACACAGACCTGAGCGATGACACCGGTCCATACCTGCAGCACATCAGTGATCGAGAAGTGCCTGATGGTAAGTTAGTGTGTGTTGTAGCTTACTGAGAAAACATAGACTACAGTGCCTTGCTAGTGAAGATCAACCCTGAACACCTGAACTATTAGCCGTTTACACCTGGCCACTTCATGCGTTTTCTGTGATCGGATAGCTATCTGATCGTGAAAAGACCAGGTGTAGCCTAGATGCCCCCCGAAACGCATTCGAGACGGATTTGAATCCGATCGCTCAAATCACATTGGGAGGTGGTCTGGGCCGCATTCCAGTCGAAACTGCACAAGTGTAAATGCATCTGGTTGTTGAAACCACAAATGTAAATTTTACTACTCCCAAAAATGATAAAAAATAAACGTGTTATAGGCTATATGGCATGTTGTTTTAGTCAGATATGACGACGCTACTGCGACACACATCAACTCAGATGAGCAGCTGAGTCTATCAAGCCAACGGGCCGCAATCTATCGCAAATCAAAGGGAAAGTCGCAGACGCTTAACACTACCATCTTCATTAATAGTAAAGAAACGAAATGAACTTACCAGGGCTGTTTCGCTCTCTCTTATTGCTGTCTTTGCTGATTTTGAAATTAGCCGATGATAAATAAAATGCGGCTCATATCTGTTGCTTTCGGTGACGTGCACTTTACTAATCTGAGAAAACGCACGAAGTGGCCAGGTGTAAACAGTCCCTTAATGGTTTACTTGATAATTACAGACAGGTGTGATTGAACAGGGTTGGAAGTTAACTTTGCAGGATGCTGGATCCCCACTAGCAAAACTGAGGAACCACGAGCCAAACAATGGCACTCTTTGGACATCTCTTTATTTAACCTGATTTATATCATGTGCTTATTAAAGGTCAGCTTTAACTTAAATGTTGTAGTTTGAACCACGCATGGGTTGATCCATGTCACCACAAAACAACATTTTATTCTTTGCGAAACTATTGTATTCTGTTCTATTCTTCTGTTATTGTGTTTCAACATTCGTGTGTCACAGCGTCTTGAAGAACTGCACTGAGATCTGATGCCTTGACCTCTTCATCTCACGGGTCGGGTTTCTCCTAACAGCTCAACACTTTAAGTGCTGTGTTGGTTGGTTTGCTCTGAAAGTGGATGGCCTATGATATTTTGTCAAAATTACTGTTGCAAACTTAAAAATCAGCTTTTGTTATTAAAAGAAAAGAGGTTTATGGAGATTTTTAGAAGGATGTCTGTTAGTATGTGGGATATGTGTGTGAAGCCTCTTGGGGCTGTTTGCAGTCTTTACTGCTGTTTATTTAGCCTGAGCTATTTTACTCTCAGGGGAGATGTATATAGGCACACACACACAACTTAATGTCCAGTGCTGTATTTAGAGCAACATGTCTTTATCTTTGTTTCTAAGCACATATGACAGCAGTGTAAACTCCACTACTTTGGCTGTGGTTAATCCTTTGTGATTGGGACATTCCAGGTCATGATTCATTTGGAATTCTGTTGGAGATGTGAATAAAAACCATTCTATATTTAACTGGCAGAGACGATCAAAAATGTTTAGTATTTCTGGCATCCCAGTGATGTAGATCTTTGGGACAGCTGCATTCTCCTTATCTCTCTCTATGTCTTTGGGAATCTGAACGAGGCATGTTTTGTTCCCTTTGGAGCTTAGAGTTTGAGTTTGGATAAACTTCGTTTTCCTGTTTTAAACTGTCTCACCATTTTCATGAACAGAATCACTTCTCTCTGGTGTCTTATGCCAGTTTTTCCCTAT